CCAGGTGCACGTCCTGCTGCTGTCCCCCGAGGCGCTGGTGGGCGGAGGGCACTCGGGGTCCGGCTGTCTGCCCCCAGCCAGCCAGCTCCCCCCGGTGGCGTTCGCCTGCATCGACGAGGCTCACTGTGTGTCTGAGTGGTCTCACAACTTCCGACCCTGTTACCTGAGGCTGTGCAAGGTGTGAAAGCCGCTCTGGGCTGGATTATTCCGGTTGAAACCGACCGCGTAACCTGATTGATTGGAGGATTAGCTCTGATTGGAGCAGCTCTTAGTCATGGTCTACTATGTTTCTGTACTTTCAAAAAATACTGGAATCGCAGTGTCTTATATCATGTTACCTGTAAGCTTTGTATTTTATTTTAACACACAATGGTGCATTAAAATTAAATGACGCATGGGCTCTGACAGAGTTTGGCTTCTCTGCCCTCCTGGTGGCCGCGTGCAGGTTCTCAGGGAACGCCTGGGCGTGCACTGTCTGCTGGGCCTGACAGCCACCGCCACCCTGTCCACGGCCCTGGACGTCGCCCATCACCTGGAGATCGCCGACCAGGAGGGCATCGCCGTGCGCTCGGCCGCCGTCCCCGACAACCTGCAGCTCTCCGTCTCCACGGACCGAGACAAGGACCAGGTGATTATCGCGTGGGCATGCTCCTCGTCTGCCTGCCGTCTGTGTGTCTGGCTGTGACACGGCGCCTCTTACCCTTTACCCAGGCCCTGGTGTCCCTATTGAAGGGAGAACGTTTCGGCTCCCTGGAGTCCATCATCGTCTACTGCACCCGCCGAGAGGAGACCACCCGCATTGCTGCACTGCTGCGGACCTGCCTGCAGGGGGTGATGCTGAGGGAGTCCTCCCAGACGGTCAGGGAGGGGGCAGAAGAAAACCCAGTGGAGAAGAGGAAAAGAGTTCTGGGTACACCTCTATCCTATAGTATGGACTATATTGTAGGAGTATAAGTAGCCGATTAAAATCAACGTTATAAACTGTGATTCTAGTTAAATGGAAGGTTGCGAAAATCGTGACATTTGATTGGTGGGTGGGTGAACGGAGTTTTATAACCGAGAGGATGAATCTGTCCCCCTTTCCCAGCTGCAAAGAAGATCCGGAAGCCCCTGAAGTGGATCGCCGAGTCGTACCACGCCGGCATGTCGGCCTCGGAGCGCCGCCGGGTGCAGAACAACTTCATGTGCGGGGAGCTGCGGGTGGTGGTGGCCACCGTGGCCTTCGGCATGGGGCTGGACAAGTCCGACGTTCGCGGCATCGTGCACTACAACATGCCCAAGAGCTTCGAGAGCTACGTGCAGGAGATCGGGCGGGCAGGTCGCGATGGGGCCCCGGCACACTGCCACCTGTTCCTGGACCCGGAGGTGAGATTCCGGGAGGACGTCCAGGCCACCGGGGCTCGCGCTGCCCCCTGCTTAATAACACTCTCCGAACGCTGAGGTCCAGAAGGAATTCTTTCCTACTGAATTATGCTCTATGCCACCAGTGGGGAAATTAAGGAAATGGAAATGGAACGGAATATTCCTTGGAGTGCTGTGAAGTCAGCAGAGGTTGTGGTTACTGATCTCTCCCCTCGCAGGGCGGAGACCTGCACGAGCTGAGGAAGCACATCCATGCCGATACTGTGGACTACTTCACGGTCAAGAGGCTGGTGCAGAAGGTCTTTCCAGCCTGCAAATGCCAGCAGATCCACCAGAAGCAGCAAGACCTAGTGAAGGTAGTCCCCCCACACCCCCAGAATTTTCTCTTAAATGCCCTGCTTATTGTTTTTAATCCAGAGGACAAAAAAATGTGGTCCACTGGCCTTCAGGAGAAGTTCTCTTTATTGGTTTCTAGGCCACGGAGGTGGACGATATGGAGATGCTGGAGCTGATGGAGACCTGCGATGAGCTGGAGTGGCAGACCGCAGTCACAGATGAGAAGATGGAGCCGAAACACCAATCAGTAGTCCCGGAAGGCCAGCAGGAAAAGGTCAAAAGTCATGAGGAGGAGACGGACAAAATCGAACCAATGGAAGCCACGGTTCAGCTAGATGGGGAGCAGAGCAAGGAGGAGAGCCTGGAGGCATGGCGGGTGAATGGCCAGGTGGAGAAAACAGACACACCCCGGGTGTGCCACACCCACGAGAGGGCCATACCCATTCAAGAGACCGTGGAAGCTCTGGATGTCACCGAAGAGGGTGAGTGTCCAACCAAAAGGGACGCCGTTCCTCTGGATATCAGTCGGGGAGCTCGCAGGCCGACCGATCGTCTCTCCTCAGGCCTCGAGACGCTGCTGTGTTACCTGGAGCTGCATCCGCAGCAATGGGTGGAGCTCCTGCACCCCACCCTGTCCGCATGCCAGCTGATGTGCTACGGAGGGCCCCAGCAGCTCCGCAAGCTCACCAAAATGTACGTAGGAGCGGCCTGGCGTGCCGCCTCCACCATTAAGCAGGGCCAGCCGGGTGCTGGTCAGGGGGAGGCCTAGGAGAGAGATTGGTATCGGGGGTGGGGGACACAGTTATCTAAATGCAAAGAACTATTTGTTGGAGAGGCCCCGAAAGAAGCCAGATTAAATATTGGGGGTTAAATGCCCCCTCCAGATTCTAAGCAGATTCTATGTAGATCTTCTTTTTGTAAATAGCACTGTGTCTGTGTGTGTGTCTGTGTGTCCCTGTCCCTGTCCCTGTCCCTTCTCTCCGCACAGCTGTCCGCCTGTGGCCGTGGTCCTGGCGCGCCGGCGGCTGGCGGGGGAGAGGGTGGAGGCCTGTAACTCGCTGCAGTTTGATGTGGTGGAGCTGGCGGACACCATGGGCTGGCAGCTGCCGCTGGTGAAGCGAGGCCTCCGGCAGCTGCAGTGGGGCTCGGACGGAGGTGGGGGGGTCCTCGCACTTACTCACCCTCCCCGCTATGCTTTTATTCGCTTTACCGCAGAACCGGGGGAGCCGCCCAGATAATACTGACGGAGAATCATGAAATACGTACCTACAGATAATTTAATGCAAACCTATAAAACTTTATGTCCCCCTTCTTCAGACGTGTTTTGCGATTCATGTTCATTACCCTCTTACTTCTAGAAGGTCAGGTTAAACTCCCTTGTCTTTTAACCGTCACGCCACCTGCTGTTCCATTAGCCTGATACACACTGCCCGGACAAAAAAAAGTCGCCTTTTGAATTTATGTCAGCAAATACTTAAGAGCCAATGACTGGATCATTATTACAGCTCAGCAACGTTATGCAGCAATAAAGTAAAGTATCTGAGTACCTGAATCTACTGAATGGCCAGGTTACACCTCCATCCATCATCAATGGATTTGTTTCTTCCCTGTTGGCATGGGCATATTCCAGGACAAGAATGCCAAGATTCAATGGGTTTGAATTGTCAAAGAGTGGTTCAGGGAGCATGAGGAATCATTTTCACGTATGACTTGGTCACCACAGAGTTGTGACCTTAACCTCACTGAAGGTGTTTGGGATGTGCTGAAGGAGGCTTTATGGAGGTTCAACTCACTTATCAATATAGGATCATGGTGAGAAATTAATGCAAATCTGGATGAAAATAAAGGGTGAGATGTTGCAAAAGCCTGTGGAAACAATGCCGTGACAAATATGCGCTATAATCAAAGCTAAAGGTGGTTCAACGAAAAATTCTAATAACCAGGCAGTATATTTGTGTAGTTTATTCCTGCATGTGTGTTAAATCAGTTCAGTAGGTAATGCTGAACATTGCGATTAATGTATATCTCTCTATGAAAACTGCCAACCTCTCCAACCTCCAGGGCCTTATAGCACCAGCAGGAGCGGCATCCTGGTGGAGTTCTCCAGCCTCTCCTTCTACTTCCGCTCCTACGGTGACCTGACCGCCAACGAGATGGACCGCGTCTGTGAGTTCCTGCACCGGCGGGTGCTGACCCAGGAGAGGACCCAGCTGTACCAGCTGAAAGCCTGCTTCAGGGCATTCCGAAGGTGTGGAGGCCTGCTGTGCAGGGTCCCGTTCTGTCTGTGTGACGGTGTGCATGTGTAATGAGTCCGGTGTGCCTGCCCAGTGTCGCCCATCGGAGCTGCGGCCCTTGTACAGACGAGTGGAATGAGGAGAGGAGTCTGAAGCTGAAGGCTTTGCTGAAGGACTATTTCGACAAAAAAATGGACCCCGACCTGATTAGGAAGTTGGAGGAGGCTGAAGAGGAGGATGATGATGACGACGAGCTGAATAAATGCAAGGTGAGTGGGCGGGCTGGGATCTCAGGCATGCTCATTACCGTCCAGGATCAATTCTATCTCTGGCTCGCAGTGCGATTTGATCCATGAGCCTTTATTTCCAGATGAGCGACTGGGAGGATCAGATCCGCGCTGACATCCGAGGCTTCCTCACCAGCCACAGTGACGAGAAGTTCTCCGGGAGAGCTGTGGCCAGGATCTTTCACGGCATCGGTGCGTTCATTTCTTTCTTTGATTTAAAAGTAACGTCTATAAGTTGTCACACCATCCAAACCGGGTCAACAGGAAGGAGATGGCAGCGTTACTATCTGACTAGGTACCTCTGCTCAGCCCCTGCTTCTTTTCCAGGGAGCCCCTGTTTCCCAGCTCAGACCTTCGGCAGGGACCGACGTTACTGGAGGAAATACATTCGCTTTGATTTCAATGAAATTATCCGTCTCGCCACCCAAGAGATCATCGGCACCAAGTGAACATCATCAGGCACAGACTGACCATGTGGACGGTTCTCTTTATGACTCTCACAATTTGAGGAGACACTGCCACATTTACAGTACAGGGACTTATTTGCTGCTAGCAAATATCATGAATGTGATTTAGGTTTTTATTTGTGTTTTTATATACAAATTGTGTTGTATATAAATGTCTGCTGTGAGTTAATGTAATGTAATGTGTCTTTGACAGTTAAAGGTATTTTATTAAATAAAACAAGTGTTTATCCTGTACTCTATATTTGTACCTATTCCTGAGTCTGAATGACTGCATTGTTTCACTGAGTCCGATTAGATTAAGCCCACAGACCAGACTTTGCTGGTGCCCCCACCCAAACCGTGCCTCCCTCGGACTAGAACCACCGCGCACTATAATTAATAACGGGGTTTCACAAATCCTATATTCCCTTAAGGTGTCGAAAATTAAAAATCTGCAAGTCGACCCTCCGTGGTGCTTTTCCACAACCCTGGGCGTCGCACTTAATTAAAGGCCTCGCCGCCGGAGAGAAGAGGAAGGGCGTGTCGCGGATACCCGCAAATACGCGCGCACGGTGAGCGGCGGCTGCGGGAAATCTGCCGGCGAAGGTAGGGAGGAGTGCGGAGGGGAGTTCTGTCACACTGATACTGAAAACCATTAAGACCGTAAAAGGCTCCGTTTGCTGCTAAATTAGACAAAGGGATTTGTGCATATGTATTCATCTTAATACAAAGATACTATGCTGATTGAATGGTGCGTCACAGAAGTATAGTCTGAACAACAAACTCTTGTTCAGACTCTTCTGAGACCGGCTATGAATAAAACGTATATTAGTTTCAAAGTATCGGCAAATAAGCTTTGAAACGGGAAAACATCAAACCGCCGGGAGATGATCGTATTGTGGTTAATTTACACAAATGTGCCACGTCAGGAAATAACTTTTGGTTGCTTTTTCGAAAGAAAAACGTTTTCCTATATCTTTAACACAAACAGGTGAATCACACGATTTAGGCCCTTTTGAGGAACAATGGAGGAGTCTGACATTGAGGGTGAGTAGCCTTATCTTACGGGCAGGTCTAAGTTAGTTCTTCCAACGCTTAAGCAAGTCAATTTTGATGTTAGTCGGATCTACCTTACCATACCATTCAAGATATCTTATAATAAAAAAAGTACTATAATCCAAATATTCTTCAGTGATTTTAAATATTACCGTAGTCGACATTTCACTACATTACCTTCTCGTTGATGTACCTCATAGACTGTACTTTTATCTAGGATGTTCTTTAATGCTGTTCCGGTAATCTCAGATGGTCCACAGACCGCAATGCCAAGGCAGTTCTAACAATTGCTTGCACAAATGTGCAATAGAAATGTTAACTGTTGTAATGTAAACGGTCTGTTTTACCATCCAGAACACCATTTGAATTTTAAGATTTGAAGCCTTAGGGCTTAGGAATTTAATTCAGTTTTTTTTCTGGCCTATAACTGCAAGAAACAATTGCCCTTAATACTGTTTGATGGGTACCGTTCTCCCTTATGCAAAAACGATGTAAAATGATCATTTATCAATGTCTGTCCATTTGCAAGATGGTGTATCAGTTAGGGCTACTTTTCTTGGCCCTATGTTTTAATAAGTCCTTACTTTGTATGTAAGCACTAACTAGTCTGAAAGGCTGCTGCTGCAGGCGTCATGGGTGGTCAGGCATCATGATGGAGTTGCTGATAGCCTCATAACGGTTGGCTGTCTTTCTAGAGGCGTCCCAGGCGCTAATCGAGGCAGCCAATGACCGAGACCCCATGGTCCAGGAGCAGGTCAGGAAGTCCATGCTGACACTTGGGAAGAGGAAACCTGACAGGGTCCTGCCCATATTCCAGAACTATCTGCTCAAACACCCCAAGGTTGTTCAACCTACTGCCTACGAATTGTGAATAGTTATGAAGATACATTTTTACAAAATATTATACAGTAGCTAAAACGAATAGTGGACAATTGCAGAAATTAGCTACAGTTTTCATGTTGGAGATCATTTATGCTGCTGGTGCTGCGTTTTTGTGATAGGTCTTTTTTTTTTTCTTTTCAGTTTAACGTTCTTGTAAAATAGTGTTACTAGTTTAATGTAGAATATGGTCTGATTTAACATTGTGCAGAGTTCTTTTTAATACCATACTTAAAAATCTGAAATTATTAAAGGGGCTTTTCTTGTTCAGAAGACCTGCACCTTTTGAAAAGCATTTTATAAATCGCAAAATCGTTAAAACTGTCATGGTTTCTCTCTCCAGTCCTGTGCATCGGCTCACATGCTCATGTTTCCGGCAGCTTCCGGTTGCACACCGAGTGGCCGTCCTGCAGACCATCGAGCTCATACTGTTGTCCAGGATTGATGAGATCGGCTGCCTCAGAGTTAAAAGCATCGTGTCTCTGGCCTCCGATGAAATGACCAGATCGAAGGTGATGCTGGTTGTTAAATGTGGCCTCAGAATCTGCGTTCCACACAAAGGAACGCAGGGATGTATTCATTAATCCGCCTGTAGACATCTGTAGAGAATCTCCCCTTACAAAAATCATGGTTTTTCTAATTATCTGCAGTACAGGATGTTACTGCATATTGTAAAATGTATTCCTACTCGGACTGTCATCCAATACCTCTCTAAAATTAATGTGAGACAAAAATATTACACATTCGTATCACAGAAAAGACGCTGCCATTGGTACCGTGTTAATAATGGAAATGTGGGGGCTCAGTTGGTGGCACGTTTTCCTCACACCCCCCCCCCCCCCCGGGGCTGAGGATCTGAATGCTGCCCCATGTCTGTTTGTGTACAGCTTGTATGTTTCCTGGGATAGGCTCCAGCCCCCCCCCCCCCCAACGAATCTGTACTGGAGAATTGGCTGATATATGTATGGATTCTACTACCAGGTCCAATGTTAATGCATATGCCCGTCTCTCTCTGACCAGGAAGTGGTTCCTGATTGGCAGCAGGCGGCTAGCAATATTCTGGTTGCCGTCGGCAATAAGCACATGGGTGACATCATGGAGGAGATGCTGAGCAAGTTCCAGCCGGGGGTGCTGCCGCACTTCTTCGTGGTGCAGACGCTGGCGAGACTCGCTCATTCCAACGGTGGGGCTGTTTCTGCTTCAACAGACGATGCCCCTGGAACAGTCATCTCCAAGCAATCCTCACTGCCATTTGCATAAATCTGCAGTATAAATGTAAACTAAGTGATTAGCACTTTCTTATTATCCAGAAAACCCATTTGAATCTTAGGATTTTAAGGCTTAGTAATCTTAACGCTTTTTCTGCTATGGAACAAACGCTGTTGATTTTTCTCGATAATGGTGCGCTTTACTTCTTTAAGCTAAAGAGAAACTTTAGCATTTAGCTTTATTTTCTTTTATCTGTTTGCAAGCTGTTGTGTGTGAAACTGCATTTAATTGTATAAAGGCGCTAATTAAGAGCGCTAACTGGTGCGAGTGTCACGTGACGGCCTCCGTGTTCCACCCTGCAGTCTACGGCATGGTGCCCTTCCTCAGCGCCATCCTCACCACCATGCTGCCCATGTTGGGCATGGCCAAGCAAGATAACATGAAGTGGGTCTTCTCCTTCGGTGAGTCCAGAGGTTCTGCAGAACATTTCTAAGCACGTCACTGGAGAAAAGGCACTGACAGCCCCCCCATCCCCCCTGCCGGCAGCTCTGTCCCGGTTCAGTGAGAGCATCGTGGAATACTTGGCCAACCTGGATAAGGCCCCAGACCCGACAGTGAGCAAGGCCACCTTCTCGGGCGAGATCTACGCTGCCTACGACATCCTCTTCTGCAATTGGCTACAGAGCCGGGAGTCCAAGGTTCATGAAATTGGTGGCACATGGGAACCAATTTCTTCTAATTGAATTCCTGCTCCTCAGTGGCTTCTTTCTTAGCTGGATGTCATGAGAGCTGGTCTGTCCTGCCAGCTGTATGCCATTAAGGAAGCAGACTGGTGGCATTTCTGACTTCACTGGCGAGATGAATTATACAATCTCCCTTTCTTGAGGTTGCATCAGGATGAGTTGTCACTGCCTAAGACGTGTTTGAGTTCAGCTCTCATGAGCGCCGTTGACTCATTTCCTGAAGGCCTCTAGCTCTCCTGACCTTCGTAGGCCGTTCTCGCCCTGGACAGGCTGCTCTCATTTTCTTTCCCGCATGTTCAAGGTGCGACTGACTGTGACCGAAGCTCTGGGAGCCATGACTCTACTGATGGCTCGGGATAAGCTGGAGGAACAGCTTCCCAAGCTGATTCCCGCCCTCTTGAACCTGTATAAGAAAACGCCTGATCACTATATAATCAGCAAGGTGAGTCTCTCCGCTCATCCCACCAGTGTATGCAGTCTGGAGTAGCAGGCCTCCCACTCTATTGATGTATGATTGGCCGCTTAGATACCAGTTTAACCCAGAACAGCATAGGGTCTTCTTGCTGATACATGGAGGGCATTTTACTGGAGCAGTTCAGGTCAAGTACCCGGCTTAAGGTATTACAGCAGGACGTCTTCTATGAGTTGCCCACAAGCCAGAAACCCTTAGGTTATGAGCAGATGCCTCTCTCTGCCGGACCGGTGCCTCTTCCGTGGTTCTGTCCTTGTCCGCCGGGCCGTCACCGCGGCCATGTTATCGACCCGCAGAGCCTGTGCCAGGTCCTGGACGCGGCTGCCAGCACGGACGGCCGGTTGCTGAGGGCCCTGGCTGACAGCCTGCTCCTCACCCTGCACCAGCAGGTAACGGTCAGTCCCCGGTGTGTAACGGTCATAGGTGTCCTGTGGTTTGACCTCAATTTTGAACACGGCTGTTTCCATGAGGAAGGTGCTGCTCGTTGAGCCAGATTTTAGCAGACTGATTAATCCTGTTTTTTTTTCCCCCACATGCTTCGTTGTGTAGATGGCTTTTGGCAAAAGAATTTAATGGGCTTTTATTGCAGCGTATATATAAGGTGGGATTAAAGCAATTTTATCTATATGTCTATCTGACTGTCTGAGCTAGCGATCTATCTCTGTCTATCTAATCTATTTATCATCATTTTAATGACAATATCTGTCATTGCTCATTAATAACATTGGTCTCTCCACTCTACTTGCAAGGTGTCTTTGCCAGTAGACTACAACAGCCCTGGAACGGTGAAAAACCACAACGAGATACTGAGGTGCTTCAGTATTTTGGGTAGGTGCTTTCATCTGCACTGTAACCCCTCCCATGATGAGAAGAGAACAGTGCGTGCATGCGTGTGTGTGTGTGTGTGTGTGTGTGTGTGTGTGTGTGTGTGTGTGTGTGTGTGTGAGGTGTTGTCAGACTGACATTTCAGTCTGAAACCCCATGTTACTTGCTTTTCCCGGCCCACTGCCTAATTGGAGCGCGGCCGCACCGCTAATCCCCAGCCGGCTAACGAGCCATTGTTTGCTTTCGGTTTTGCTCCCCTGGTGCCCTGCTTTTGGGCTTTTGAGGGCTTACATGCACCCTGCCTGGGCGCGGGCCTTTTCCGCGCCTCTGTACCTGACCGAAAAGGCCGATCGCTTGTCGGAAACCGGACCCCGTGTTGCGACTTCACGGGGATCTCTGCGGGTGTATAAGCGGTTTGGGAGCGAATGCCGTGAACGGAGACCCAAACAGAAACCCATTGTTTCCCACCACACACCTTCCCCGACCGCCTGGTTATCTTCGTGCTGCAGAGGCTTGAGAATGGCGGCGAGCGTAACCGCGTGGGCTCCCTGGCCGTGCTGAGACACCTCGTCAACACCTCCTGTAAGCCCCCAGGCCTCTGGGCCTCACAGTCCAGTAATACTGCTGATATCCACCCGGTATTGCATTTCCCCTGTATTTATTAGTACTGTGACCATTGTGTAACCTTATTTTTAACGTAGCTTCCATTATGGACACAAAAAAGGGGCTTATTGTCACCAGCCTGCGGCTGCCGCTACTCGACACCAGCAACAAGGTAAAGTCCCAAGAAGCAGATGTCTTTAGGGCTCATGGCGGAGGATGTTCGATATGGGTAGCGGGGGGGGGGGTTTACAAAGTCCTCTGACCTGATGTTCTGATTGATAAACGGCCTTTTGGAGGGAGGCATGGCAGGCAGGGAATCTAGGCCCCTTCCTGAAGGCATCACGCCCAGTGGTGGATTAACTTATCTGGGGCCCCAAGGTTGACATTGGCACGGACACTCAGGTGTTGCTGATTTAACTACCCGTTCCATTTCTCCTGAGGCGGGGCAGAGCCCTGATGTTTGCCAGGGCCCCAGGCTATAGCCTAGAACAGCCTGTGTATTATGCCACCCCAGTCTGTGTTGTGAAACGATAGATAAGCCTGAGATGATCTGAAACACTGCCCCCTACAGGTCAAGAAGAAAGTTGTCCAGGTGATCAGCGCCATAGCCCACCATGGATACCTGGAGTTGGAAGGCGGAGACATGCTACTGAGGTTTATGATGCTGCACTGTGCCCTTCCAGACGCCTGTCATGTACGTCTCCTCCTCTGCTGCCCCTTCTGGCCGTGTTATTGTTTTTCTCCCTCCGAGGTGCCACTTGGCATTTGTTTCACATCATGTTGCTTTTAAAGTAGTCAGCTTCCCTTCCCGCTGAGCTCCAGCGGTTGGAAGTCCACAGTCATCACACTTTTGGTGGGTGTGGCCTCAGCAGGGGCGGAGCCTGTCAGACCAAGAGGAGGTGACCAATGAGGCCCTCCGGAACATATGCGAGAAAACGCTGCACCTTCTCGCGACTACAGTGGGCCGCATGGAGGACGTGAGTCCCGCCCCTTTACGCCCCCTGCAGGAAATCACAATATAGCATCTTGCATTTGCGTTAACTGATTAGCACAGTGACTTAAGGTAGTGGTAATACTGTACTCTTTGTATATAAATACCATTTCTGGTCACTTAATAATATTACCTAAAGGTGCTCATATTCTGCAGTGTTTAACACTGTCTTCCCGTACCTGTTTCTGACAGTCCTAACAGAAAATGCACTGTAAAGTTTACCTTGTCTCGGTCCAGATGTGTCTTTTAAAGAAAAATGAGTTTCCCTTGTGGTGGGACAGGATTCTACCTCCCAAGCTACTTAAAGCGATATCTGCGATGCTTCCAACTTCACGGCCAAGCACAGCATGAATGTTCCTGCTTCCTCTTCGCCTTTGCTGGTTATTTTTCCTCTGTGGGTTCTGGCCCTTTCCTTCCGAAAAACAAAAACTGTTGACCAGAGCCGTCCATCATGTGACGGTTTTCCCATGCTCTCTTATCGCCACGGGAGACTGCTCTGATTGGCTGCGCTGCAGGTCAGCTGACGGGGCTGGCGGTGATGGGTGTCTCCCCCAGGTGCTGTGGCCTGCGTTGCTTCGCTACCTGACCCCGGTGCAGTACGCTGACGCCACCGTGCCCCTTTGCAGTAGCCTGGTCCTGCTGGGTAACAGGAAGCGGGTCACGGGGGACCCAGGCTACATCGTCGACTTCACCAAGCAAGGTGCCGTCCCACTCGTCTCCGTTTTTCTCTTTTGCAGTTAGTCTGTTAGGCTGATAGTTGGTCACTTAATCCTTTGCAGAAAGTAACGCTGACAATGTGTACTCTGTATATATCTGTGTGTATGGATATTTTCATACTTCCACGTGCCGGAAGTCTTCCTCCACTGCTTCCCTCTCTGGTTTTCCAGACAGTCTTCCCTCACCGTACAGCATCATGGTCAGGCTCTGGGTAAGTGGCTCACGAGTGCCCCCCCTTCAGCCAGCGCCGTTGGGGGCCCAGGGAGCCTCTCCTGAGCTATGGCCCTTTTGGACCCCCCTCCCAGGTCAACGCATCATACCCATTCCGGAGCCGTGGCCGGGGGGCACCTTCACTCAGACTGCTGGCAATCTTGGCCCCCAGTATCCAACCCAGTTTGGAAGAGCTCTGGACCACAGAGGTCCCCCTGCTCCTGAACCTCCTGGAAGGTGCGCGGAGTCAGGCTCAGGACACGGCCTGCTAAGCCATCGATCAGTGAATGGTGTTAAGGCACTGAAGTCCACAGTGAAATGAGAAATAACAATAAAAACAGCTTAGGGATTAAATATAAGATTAAGATTAAGAAGAACTTTATTTATCCCGAGGGAAATTCTTTTGTCATACACATGCTCAGTGCAGTAAGAGAGACAGAGATATACATACAATATAAGAAATAGGAATATATATATCTAAGAAAAAAGAAATACAATATATACAATAAGAATGTTAGTTTACAATAATATACAATAGGATAGTGCAAAATAATATCAAGTGGCTCTAAGTAGTAACGATGTATGTATCCTGAGAAAATAAATAGCTTATCTGTGGTGATTTTAAAGTGTCCTAATATTGTGCAGAATATGATGCATATGATAGCATATGATGGTGAGAAGAAAAACAAACATTGAGCTTGTTATCAGTCCTTGGGAAATCACTTACAGAGTGAGGAGGAGTTGTACAGTCTTATTGCCACCGGTACGAAGGATTTCCTGTGGCGGTCAGTTCTGCATTTAGAGGCAATCAGTCTTTTGCTGCGTGTGCTTCGCTGGTCCATCATGGAGACGTGCATGGGGTGAGAGGGGTTGTCCATAATACAAAGAATCTTTCTCAGCATTCTCCTCTCAGACACCTCTACCAAGTTCTCCATATACATATACAGCCCATCTCTTCAGCACCCAAAGGGTAGTAGAGTTTGTGAGACCCCCCCGGGGACCACTCTGACCCCGGTGTGTCTCTGTGTTGGTCTTCCAGAATCCACAGTGGACACACTAAACAGGAGGACATGGGAGCAGAGCCTTCTCAAGGTTAAACGTGTTGGTGTGGTGTTTGGTTTTGATGTTTGAGTCAACAGTAACTTGAGCAGCTGGATGGGTTTGTCGGTTGCAGCTACTGTCCAAAACGCTGGTGGCAGTCATGGACGCCGGGTGGTGCTGTCGGCTGGTCTCTGAGATGTCCCTATATTTGCCCACCTACAACGGCTCCCTGGACGAGAAGGTCGGTGACGGCCGCTGGATCAGACGGCCCGTTTTTCTGAAGAACGTCGCCTCCTTCACCCAACTTCACCTCCGTCGCTCCATCCTGATTTGGTCGTCGCGCTTTCCTCCGCTTAGAGCTTCCTGTACAAGTGCATGGGAGTGACCCTGCAGAGATGCTGTGACTCGGGGGTGGTGAAGGAGCAGCTGCGCATCATCCTGGCCACCGCGTGCCACAGCGAAGCCATCGAGAGAGAGGTGCCCCCACAGGCTCCTTGGCGCTGCCCCGGGTGTCGGCCTCGCTTATTCATTGGCCCGCTCGTCGAATTAGTTTTGAAAAGCGTGGATATCAATAATTTTTTTTTCCCTTTCCGCTTTTCAAGCTAGTGTTTCTGCAATAGTTTAATTTTTGTTTTAAGAATTCTTTTTAAGCCGTGAAAAGAGATGGCAGATGACAGTAAGGATAATGTAAATATATTGTTTGGGAACCCTAAACTCGCTCATATGTGCTGTTTGGGGTAATTGGTTTTGCAGGGAGTTGCGAAGGGAATCGGGCTCTGTGCCAGCAACCACCTCGATGATACTCTGGCCAAGCTGGATGATTTCGCGAGATCCGATGCCTTCAGGAAAGCCTCGGGAATACTTGGCCTGCTTAAAGTAAGTTCCGTATGGGTTTGTTTTCATCTGGAGGGAAAACAGGAGGAATGTCGTGTACGACCTCATGGCGGTTCACGTTTTGGTGGACTGCCATCTCCATCGCGATCATTATCCAGTCGAATTGTTGAATAGAATCGGGCTGATTTAAATTCCTTTTTTTGTTCATTTATCACCTTAGAAGGAAATGATAGCAAAGTAGCCAATCCCCATCCCGTAACTGTCATCGGTCTTCAAGATTTTATCCATCTAGCAGGTGGAAGGTCATAGCAACTAGGCCGCTTTCATTTCCTGACTTCTTAACATTGCGGAAATGTCAGCTTCTGTCCTTTAAATATCCAAATGAAATGTCAGTCACCTGCTATTAACCTATACGTGGGAACTTGCTGGTCCCAGGATAAGAATGATGGAGACGTTGAGAAGATGAAGAGTACGTTGATTCTGTCCTATGGCTACATCGCTCTCCACGCTCCCGAGGACAAGGTTCTGGGCCGAATCGACTCTCAGATCCTGCGAAATATCAGCAAACACTTCAGCACCAAGGTAACGCCATCGCTAAGCTCACTGTGACATCAGGGTAAGTCTGAAGGCCAGTGCACTAAGGATTCAGTGTGATGTTGCGTGTTGTACAGGGCCAAGGGGTCTATCAGGCCAAAAGACGATGGCAGCCCACCATCAGTCACAAAGCTACAGAGACCTTGAGGCCCTGATTTATGATGGTGTAGAATTTTTTTTCTCTCAGATATTTTCAGTAAAATAATCAAACCCAATAGTGCGTTTTTGGTGGCTTCAGACATGCTGTGAAGTCGTAATATTTTCCTAAATGGTAAGGTAAATAGTAAAAATGACTGTGGTTTAACATTATGCTTGAAAATCCAATTTTACTGTCCCTGGAACAGCGAGGCTGCTTTGGTTGGCTGCGTGCTGAATGACTTCACGTTGCAGAACCTGTGGTTTGGCCACACCGGGTTATGGACACACTGATCAGACAGTCCGTGCTGTCCTCCCAGGCCGAGCGCCATCAGATGCCGCTATTTTTACCCAGGGCTGTTTGGCGGAAACTTGCAGATCTGCTCTACCTACGAGCCACCGATTCTGTATGTGTCATGCTAGACCGTTAGTGAGCGCGACGTTAATGTAAGCGGGGTGTCTTAATCGGGCATCTCCAGAAAATCAAGTCGTACAGCCCCCACGTTGCGTTTCTGCTGCAGTGATCATCTGTGGCTTATATTACACTATAATGCTGTTAAGACCGTTTTAAATTCATTAGATTCATAAAGACCTCTGTTTTTTGTAAAAGTAAGTAGTTATGCAGTTTAGTGTTTATGACTGTAGGTATATATTAGAATTTTTTTAAATGGAGGATGTCAGTTTTAGGGGAAAAAATTCTCCTGATTCTTGTGTTGTGTTCAGGTACTAGGGATGAAAGTAGAGACCAAGGTAATGAAATCTGTTCCCCCCCCTTCTGTGTCAGCTGCACGGTGGCAGTGCTTTCAGTTTGTCCTCCCTGAGATGCTGTAAAACGCTCCAGTGCACCAGCTTTATGTTCAGCTTGGGCTTCCTGCAGGAACACTCATCACCACGCGTTACTCTGTGGAGAGCAAACATCTGACTCCTGTTATTCTTGGATGGGCGGTGAAGGCTGACCTGCAAGAGGCCAAGTCATGAAGGGAGGCATTTCCTAAAAACACTCTGGATTTAATTCACGGGTTCCCTGAAGTGTGCGTAGAGCTTTCAGCCTTGTATCTGAGCTTCACGCTCATGTTTCTGATCGGCTAAAGGAAGCACCTGAGCTCCATGTTTGTCACAATTCATTCAGTTCATTTTTTGAACATCTTTTTAAAACTCATTTTTCCATTGTAGTTTGCTAGAGATGTTTTTTCTTCCATGATACATGTATATATTGTACTAGTTATATGTGGATATCAGAGAATATGTAGCCTTGTTTATACGTTTGAAGCCTCACTGATTAGCTTTAGCTTTTATGTAAATCAGAGCGCTCCCCTCAGCCTTCCTATAAATACATGCCGCCACTATTTCCCAGAAGGCTTTAGGTCGTACTCTAAGCTCTCCTGCTCTTACCGTCCCATCGCTGAGGTCACGGTCATTTCTGCTGTGTCTGTCGTTCAGGGTCTGTGAATGTGTACGCAAATGCCCCACTTACGCTCTCAGCATGGCCAGCTTGAACACTACTGGCTGTTTTTCCCCTTACTAATCTTCCAAACGTCTTTGCGCATGAGTGTGTGATCCTTGAAAGTGAAGATGTTTTGTTTTTTGAGAGCAAAGACTCCGCATTTTGACTCCCATCAGGACCTGACCCTGAAGATCAGCCTGCTCCAGAGTGTAGGCCTCATCGCTCAGGCCATCGGTGCCTGCGTCCGAAGGCAGAACTACCTATTCGCCCGCAAGCAGGAGCTCGTGGGAGGCCTCATGGTCAGTGGTGCATGCTGGGATGTGCAGGGTGACTGCAAGCTGTGGCAACACATGTGTACTGCTTAACGGTAGTATAGGCCTTGTGTACGGTGGCCTACTAAGATTTTGTCATGCCTTCCGTTTTGAAGGACATCATCAAAGCAGAACCCGCCGACGTCCTGGTGACTTCCGTCCGTCATCTGGCCATGACGGCGTGTGCCAGCCTTGTGTATCCTTCCATGGGACGAGGGATGGAGCCACACCTATTTTTAAGTTGGGTGTTCTACCCTGGTCTGCGACCCTGTAAAACCTGCCCACCAATGGCTGGTGGGTTATGGGTGTCATGACCTCAGACCAGACAATTAGCAGTAAACTTTCACACAAACGGCGCTTTAGAAGTGGGCCCAGTGGCCTCCGTGGAGCTCGTAAAGACTCCCGTTAAAACTGAGCTGGATCCGCCACTCTTAGAGCCTCACCGAGGTTTATGTGGTTGGGAGGCATCCTCCTAACCAGCCGCCATGAGGAACGTCCAAGAACTGCGACTGCCTGGCCTTTGACTCACGGGCCCAGCAACTTAGACCCAGCGCTGACTGAGACTGAGACCTGCGGTGTGCTGCAGACCTGTTTGAACAGTGTGCTGGGGCTGCCCCCCCTCGAGGTTGTGGACCGGGGAGAGGAGGACGAGTCCCTGGACTTGCAACAAAGGCAGGTGAGGGTGGTATAGCTCATCTTTTTTAGCATAAAATCTTGTCTTGTCTTGTGTATGTTGGTTGTAATGACAGTAATGTCCACTAGAGGGAACTGTGGTACTGCATTGCACCACACCTGAATAGCAAACAGATGTCCTGATTTATGAATGACTGCAGTTTAATCTCTCGCTAATATAGGAGCAAATACTTCCAAATAAATCTGTTTATCCCCGTCTAGCTGTTTACTGTGCTTGCAATGCTGGCAGATAGCAGAGTCGTCATTGGCACGTGGAGGGTGGGGATAGGAATGAAATTAATCGGCTGCGTTGTCACCCAGGGCCTGTATGCGGAAACCTTCAGTGCTCTTGAGGACTTGCTGGGGAGATTACTCTCCCGAAATCTGACCCCGGATGGGCTGCAGAGCATCTTTAAGGTAGGAGGAGTGTGCCGGGGGAGGGGGTGCAGCGCTGCGTGTTCCTGGCACGAGAGCCCGGCGGGGGCTGCCAACCCCTCCTCGTCGGCCTGCCCACACAGCACCTGGAGGTCTGGATGGGGTCCGAGCTGGATCACGGGCGGGAGAGGGCCGTGCGGACGGCCACGCTGGTGCTGGACTCCTACCTGCATAACCTGGCTGTGAGGGTGGGTGTAACGGGGGTCCCGTAACGGGGGTGCCGTGCTGGGCGGCGGGGGCTGTTTCACCTGTAGTCCACCGGTCACGTGGTGCCGAGCTCTGTGAGGTGGCGCCCCCTTCTGTTCCTGTGTTCCAGCAGAAGACGACGACCTTCCACAACATCGGCGCCCTTCTGGGACGGCTGGTGCCCCGCTGCACAGACCGCTGCTCCGCGGTGAGCTGGGCCGCCGGAGAGGGCCTGCGCATCCTGTTGCGCATCCAGCTGCGATACGAGGGTGAGTTTCCCTCCCCCATCCTGCGAGGAGGGTGCGGTTGGGTCGCTGCCGTGTGTCCGACTGGCGGGGGCTAAACACCCCCCCTCCTGTTTTCTAGGGTTTCCCCCGGAACACAGAGACGCAGCGGTCGACAACCTGCCCACCCTGTATGAGGGGCTCCGGAACCCTGACCCTGCAGCTCTGTGCCAGACCTGCTCCCATCTGGCCGAGGTACCGGAGCGGGCGGGGGGAGCGGGCGGCGTAGCGGGCGGGGGAGCGGCCGGCCCACTGAGCAGGGCTCCTCCGCACCCTCCTCACCTCCCTTATCATCCTTCTCCACATCTTCCTTTTCATTCTCATCCTCCTCTTCCCTCTTCTCCACCTCCTCATCCTTCTCTTCCATCCTTTTCCTACTCTTCTTTCCCTATCTCCATCTGTCTCCTTCTGTCTTCTCACCCTCCTGCTCCCTATCCTTCTCCTTCTTCCCCTATCTCCACCTCCTCTCTACCTCCTCATCAGCATCTCCTCCTCCTCTCTACCACCTCACCATCCTCCTCCCCATCCTTCTCCTCTTCTTCCCCTATCCTGATCATCTTCTCCTCCTCCTCAGGCCTTCAGCAGGCGCCTTACTCCTCAGCAGGTCGGACCTCTGATCCTGGTCCTGACAGAGGGCTTGAGAGACCCTCAGCCAAGCTGCTGTCTTGTGTCCGGTGTGTTCCTGAACACGCTCCTCATGCACAGGGGAGGCCGTCTGCAAGACCTGGTAAGAGTCCCGCCCTGCTTTACTCTGCAAAATCCCCCAGCCAGCCGAATCTCCTCTTTAAGATCCCCCAGTCTCATCAGTAGACAAATGATTTTGTCTTTCCTAAACACACCACAAGGGGGTGCAGTTTCCCTAGAGTGTGTTACAAAGAGCAGAAGTTATACAATATCTGAATGGAGCCAACTCTTCTATGTTCCTATACAGTGGCCTGCTTTACTGCTTGCAGTGTAATCAGCATGGTTTAATGGCTTCCAGGCAGGGAGGCCTAGAGCGACAGGATAACTGTCTGTCAGTGGATGACACTGATTTGGCAGCCTGGCCGGCTCCTTATCACAGATTGTAAAGGCAGCTGTTATGACGTTTGCGGGCCTGCATTGGTAGGAGTGTTAACAAGGTCAATGTATACCGAGCAACCAAAGTGGTCAACAAGCACATCCATTACATTTTATGTTTAAATCTCATTTTCTAGTTATAAGGGTTACATTAAGGTTAATCCATGACAGAAAGCCTTACCTCTAAGTCAGGCTTATTGAATACCTACTGAATATCCTGGGGATGCAGTGTAGAGTCATGGCATTCAAAGTTTTGTTTAACGGGACCCCCTAGGACTGATATGTCCTGATTTCCCCTCACCTGCCCTTACCACACACACACACACAGATTTAATTATGTGTACATATAATGTGTACCTGCATATATCATATAATTTATTGCTAAAATTTGCAGTAAATTTCTGCCTCCACCTCAAACCCCCCACCCAGTTCTTCATTTCTTTTCCTCACTTATGCCCCCCCCCGAGCATGAGTCCTCTCATCTTATGAGGTTTAACGAAGTCTTGATTTTGTCCTCATCGCTGTCCTAGTCATGGCCTTTAATATTTGAAGACTTACCTCATGCAGACGGAGAAGCTGAAACGTAAGGGTCTTGTGTGGGTGGGGTCCTCTTCTAAATACTAGAACTCGTGGCCATAGGTGGAAATTAGCGGGAGAACATTTTAGACTGAATTTGAGGAAGCACTTCTTTACACAGCATGTAGTTAGAGTATGGAATAGTCTTCCTGCTAGTGTAGCGGAAGCTAAAACCCTGGATTCCTTTAAATCAGAGCTAGATAAGATTTTAACAACTCTGAGCTATTAGTTAAGTTCTCCCCAAATGAGCTTGATGGGCCGTTTGTAAATATCTTATGTTCACGGCCTAGGTTCCCGAGATCATGGGGGCACTGCACCTGGGCTTGCAGGCCATCTCCGAGGACCAGGTGAAGACGGCAGTGGCTCACTCCATCCTAACCCTGGCTTCCCAGCATCTGCAGGTCGTCATCGACACCCTTATCTCCTACCCCTTGCCCTATGACAGGTGGGTCCCTGGTCTCTGTGACTTATGTTTGCTCTCCTGCGTGAGACTCCGGCCGATATCACCCTCGCACGCTTGCATCACGTCCTTCCCCAAACTGCAGCAGAGGGAATCTCGATTTCCTGTTGCGCAATGCGCCCCGAGAGCCGTGCCTTTTCAGCCTGAGTGGTATTGACTGTGGGATTAACTCGTCTGATTAAAACGCTCCCCGCAGGACCGCGATCTGGGCCCGATGCTCAGACGCACGGCTTGTTTGCTTGGAGAAATCCACCGGCATGGAATCTTAGCGGGGGCTGCTTATGAGGGGAGTGAAACATGCCGCGTTTATCCGTGGGAGGCCAGGGGTGAAATTTGAACCGTATGCCGCATTTAGGTGGGAGAGCAGGGAGCTGGGTGTGGGAGGGATGATGCACAGGTGGCTGAAGTGCCAGAGCTACAGCCGTCTGTCTGCCGTGCCTGCAGCAGCACCTGTGACATGTGGATGGCGCTGGGTGGTCACTCCGCCCTGGCCGGTCACATTGTGGAGACCTTCACTGAGAGGCTAGTCGCCATGGTGCCCTACACGGAAAAGAGGGACCCAGCTTTGAGGATGGGGGCCACCAAAGTTGCCACCGTTCAGCCGCTGGCAGTGAGTAGCAGAGCCCCCCCCCCCCCCCCCCCCAGGCTGACGTGCCCCCTCTTCCAACTGACTGGCCCTGTGGCCTCTCTCCAGGTGACCTGCGCCTTGCGTGAGATAATGATGAACGGTCAGATCGAGGCTGCCGTCACAGAGCAGTTCCCGCGGCTCTTCGTCGCCCTTCTGGTGCGCATGGGCTCCAGCGTGGGAGTGCAGCTCCCCAAGGACATCTGTACTGGGGCCACCAGGCCAGAGAAGAGACCATCTGGAAAGGTGCTGGGTGCCTTCGACGTGTGCGGGTGAGGGCTGGCAATTACAGCTGCCGAAAGCAGACCGATCACCTGGTACAGTGTTCCCCAGACCGTCCACATTTTTGCTCCCTCCCTGCTGTTTACTGGGAAGTGGAAGGTAGCAAAAATATGGACTGTCTGGTGGTTTTCAAGGACGGGGTTGAGAAACACTGACCCTAGCACATGGGTCAGCTCATGCGCAGTCATCCCTCTGGCTGCAGGATGGCGCTAGAGGCAATGCAAATCCTGCTGGTGCGTGCCCAGCTGGATGAGGTGCTCAAGACCCTGGACCTGCAGGAAGGGTGGGCCAAGATGAAGGAGCCGCAGCAGTTCATCGACGGGATCGCCCTGCTGGCCAAGTGAGCGGAGCACCCCCCCCCCCCAGAGCAGCATGTGACCGCATGATGTCACAAGGACTTCCTGTAGTGTGACCCTGTGTTTTTGTTATCCTGAAAACACCACTGGTGATGTGAGTGTTTGCTGTAAGTTTTTCTGTGTCACCATGATTATATGGTACGGTAAGGGATTTTTTTTAAACTGGGACTCAAAACTAAAGCTGAGTGATAATACTTTGTGTTTGTGTTTGTGTGTGTGTGTGTGTGTGTGTGTGTGTGTGTGGGGCCCGTTCCCTGCAAAAGAGGACATGTGTGTGTTTAATCATGCCCCTTTAAGCCGGAGATAAAAGCTAAAAATAGGACTCGTTGAGTGTGTCAGGGCCGGCTCTGCCCCAAAACGGGCTCAGCCTTTGATGGAGGCCTTCTGTTCCCTGAACGCCGTGACCTGCAGCGTGTGACCGTGCAGGTGTCGCTTTCCCAGCGTCCTCGGACGCCCCGAGCTCCCGGCTACGACGACTCAGACGCCTATCAAAGGTGGCGCTCAATCAGGTGCCTCGCTTGGCTGGGTCTCCTGGCCCCCTTTTCAGTTTCCCCTGAACCAGCAGGGTCGCCGAAGCTTGCCGAGGGGTCGCCGCCGGGTCCTCGGCCGTCCGGCACTTCGCATTCCTGCGCTTGCTGAGTCGCTGCGCCTGCCTCTTGCGGCAACTCAAACAAACTCTGTTCACTCCTATGCCAAGCCTGCCCTGACCCGTGTGTGTACAGAGGCTAGGTTAAACACTGGGGAGGGAAGGAGAGCTGAAAGGCCTTTTGTTAATTTACCAGACGATACATCAAGCAGAGCATGGCTCGGTGGATAGCATTGTGGCATCCAGCCTTGCAGGTATTTGCTTGCTGTGTGTGTCCGTGGAGTTTCCGCATTCTCCTCGTTCTCCTCAGCCCAGACACATGCCAGAGAGGTGGACTGGTGTCCCTAAATCACCCCTGATTGTAGGACTGGTGATATCGCCGGTCTGGCGGTCGGCCCCCAGCTAATTCGTCTTCTGTCGTGCCCCAGGCAGGCCAGGGACCCTGCAAGTGGGTGAGCAGCCTAAAAGAAATCTGATGGATGAATATCTGGCTGAGATATGCAGAAGTTTCCGGGGAACAGGGAGTGTAGCTCTCCACATTGTGTTGTTAAATTAAGTTGAGAACTACTTTCCAGTTAGGTGCTGATATTAGCTGGACTTCGCTGGTGAACATTGATTGATGATTCACTTCCTGCTGGGGAAATGTGTGGATCCTCTGGTCCTCATACAGAACGCCTGGCAACCTGCTTCAAGGCCTGATTAAAAATTACTTTTTTGGGGGGGGGAAGTGTACATCTTTTAAGATAAGCTTCCAGTTTCAGTGTAGTTATAAAAAAAACTTTAATGGCCACAGAATCACATGTAGTCTGCAGAGCAGTATCGGCCCACAGTAAAAATGCTAAAATGGTCCCACAGAGAATTATGGGTAATGAGGGCAGCTGGCCCTGGGGCATTTCTATCTGCTCGTGGAGTATCAGGGAGGTTCCCCTTTATTTGAAAGAACCACAATGGCGGGAGAAAGAGAGATCATCTAGGGTTTTTTCTGTCCAAACCCAGTTCGCTGAAGATCTTCATGGACTCTGGGCAGCTCAGGTGGATGATGTTGATTCTTATTGGTGGTTATAAAGATGGCAAATTTGAGCTGGCCCTGAGCCAACGAGGTCGTCTGTAACTAAATTGGCATCTTGACGTCGTAAGACAATTTCAAACGTGTCTTGGGGTAGAGTGGAATCCTGAAAATGTGGTTTAATGACTCATCATAGGTCAGACTTTCTGAGATAGGAAAGGAATTAAAGCTAATTTAAATTGCAGCAGTGTTGTATCCTCATTAAAGTCCGAAGTGAGTGTAATTTCTTTCTTTTTCAATTTGCTGAGTTGTCCTCATACTGTTAAAAATTAAGGACTTAAGTAATTTTTCCCTGGCAACCACAAACTGAGTTATGTTTCTCATTGGCTATCTCCTCTCTTCAGTCGGCCCCCATTGGCTGAGAGTACATGGTAACCTACCCATATGTATTTTAGTGCCACTCTTCACTATTAACACCCAGCCAGACTGTATTTAGATCTCAGGTTTTTATTAGTACCTGTGTGTCCCCCTCACAGCGCCATGGCAACGCACGCAGGCCCCCGTCTCCCAGCCATCATCCAGCACCTGTATCCCACCCTCACCAGCATCTATGAGTGTCAGAGGACCACGGCGACAGCCTTCCTCTCAGAGGTGAAGGATGGTGATTGGTGGTACGGTGTCCGCGGCGACGTACCAGTCCGCGATATGCAGTATAGCACTGTAGCCAGTGAGCAGGGTGAGGTTCTCCTGCAGATCTGCTAGGAGATGTAGAATCTCCACCTCAGCAAGTGCAGTGCCAAGACGGGTGGTGTTTGGTGGCAAGGTAAATTAACAGGATGTCCTCACAAGCCGCAGATCAAGTCACAGGGTTGACATCACCGCCGTGCCAAGTGGTGATCTACATCCTGAACAACACCAATTAGTTTAACGATGAGACACAATTCACTGTACACAAGCTTTGACCTGTTCAAAATGATGAACCTTTTTTTTTTCCCTCTTTTTCATACACTATCCACTGATATCTGACCTGGGGTCAGATAGTCGGAGTGTTGTTCTTGACAGCAGCATCAGAATGTTGTTTTTTTTCCCCAGAATATGAAGTTCCTGGTGATGTCATCCATCTCTCCATCTAAACACTAGTCCCGGTCAGGGTCGCAGGGTGATGATGTCATGTTGTGGGTGACTGGGCGTGGCCACCACAGGGTTGCCCGCATGGCAGTGCCATCTTTGTGTCCTTTCACCCTCTTGGCCACAGCTGCTAAACCACCGGGTGGCGACGGAGATGATGATGACGGACTCGCTGATGAAGAGCATGATTGCGCGCCTGGCTGACCCCTGCGGTGCCGTGCGCATGCTGGCCATCAGAGGCCTGGGTAACATCGCCACTGGATCCCCAGAAAAGGTGACAACAAGTCCCAATAAATCCCTGACAAACCATTTCTGGTTACGGAAGCCAGATGCTAGTTCAGAGACTTCCTTATTGGAGCAGTAGCTGCATATAATCATGGTGGCTGTGTCCGAATTCAGGCACTGTATCCTTCGAAGGACACAGTTTTTTGAAGGTGCAATCTTTGTAGACTGTGGTCTTCGAAGGTCAAACGGAAAGAGTTGTCAAATGGGACGGTCTGGCCTTTGGATAATTTCCTAATTGCATCACCAGCTGTTCCCACCTTTTACCCTTGAGTCACGAAGCACTGCTCCTATTGCTTAGCCAGGACACGCCCACTTCACTTCTGTGCAGTGCATCCTGGGATATTTTGGGCTATGAAGGATCCATATGGTAAAAGGACGCATTTCTAGACTGCATTTGAAGGAGCCTTCGAAATGGGACAGCATTGTCGCACAGTCGTGATGTGTTTTGGTCTTCGAATACAGCCTTAGAAGGATTTCAGGAGAACGTAAGCACAGGGTCACACTACAGGAAGTCCTTGTGACATAATGTGGTCACGTGCTGCTCTACATTGCCCCCTAGGGGGGTGGGTGCTCCTCTCTCTTGGCCAGCAGGTTGACCCCCATCGACCCACTGCAGTAGACCTCCAGACAGTCTATATATTTGCTCCCTTCCAGCCCCTAGCACACCTGAACCAAACAATCAAGAGCGAACTAAGCAATCAAGAACATCAAATACCTGGGACAGGTGTGCTGGGAGTTGAGGACACTGCCTTACTGGTGCCAGATGAAACCACCATCCTCTTCTAGACTTTCCCCCATAATCATAATTTGCAAAGTGTCTGTATTCATATCATCATCCAAGAACACTGCCGTATCATCAGGTATCCATGGTAAAAACTGCATTTGATCAGTGTCCATCATATTTGCCATGTTGACCCCTGGGTATCATTAGAATGTTTTCCTAGCAAGAATATTTGAATTATGAGGTTCTGTCCCAAATATCTTGAAACTCTGGTGGAAAATAATACATTTAAAAACTGAAACTAAGTGAAGTTTCTATTCCTGCCTGTCAAAGCAAACTCAGTGTCCTCCACTAAACCGCCGGCCAGGTCATCAAGTATGCCATGGAGCTGCTGGCTGCCTTGAGCTCCGGGATGGAGGAGAGCGACGACCCTTCCAAGCGCATCGCTCTGGAAGCCATGTCGGGCCTCTCCAAAGTGCTGCTCCACCTGAACAAGAACGCTGTGCGGATGCTTTTAGTCTACATCTTGATGAAGATCAAGCCCTTCCTGGAAAGTGTGAGATGACTTTGAGTTGCCGTTTTTAAGTTCTTGAGATGTTGAAGTTAGCCGTGAGAGAAAATGATGGCCCTGGCTTGATTCTGCTCCCTGTTTCGACAGGAATACGATACTGTCCGTTGTGCTGCTGTACTGCTTTTGGGAAATCTGTCAAAGTTTGGGTCAGGAGAGCCAGTCTTCAGAGACCAGATCCACAATGTGCTTATGAGTTTACTCCTACACCTCAGTGACCCGAGCCCAGACGTAGTCAAGGTGAGTGGAGAGAGGCACACAGTTCGACAGGCAAACCAGCTGCATTTTAGACACGGAATCTTTCTTAGTACCGTTCAAATACCATATTTACTGTTTTATTTTAGCTGGTTTTTCTGTGTATTCCTACAGGATTTCTGTGTGACTGTGAGATTCTGAAATATTGTCAAGTGAGGCTTCTGATCTGTAGCCCTGTAAATTGTCGTCTCATTCTCAAAAGCAAAAGCCGTGTTCATCTGACAGTGGTAACCAAAAACAGTAGGTTAGCTAGTTATCCATAAAATGAACCAGACATTGACCGTGTGGGTGCATCTCCAGGCCTGTAAGTTGACTCTGCAAGAATGTGTGCCACTACTGGGCTCCAAGCTGATCGCCACCATGTTCCAGAACCATCTGTATGAAGACCGCAACTTGCACTACGGCGAGTTCATCAACGACCTCATGAAATACATAGTAAGCTAATGCTAATGTTCCTATATTGTAAGAGTGGCCATTTTGGAATGATGGCCATAGCCAACATCCATGTTGTAGATTCAGGATTTCCCTGGCATGCTGAACTTCTACCATACCACCATCCTTCAGTTCTTCAAGAGCACCTGGACGCAGGTTCGAGCCAGTGCTGCCATGTTCACCGGTAAGATTGCCGTCACATTTGACCAATCCGTGAACACCCCCCTCACCCCCCCCCCCCCCCCCCCTTATCTCCTCTAGTCTCATTCTGACCCTCTTCATGATGAATCCTCGCACGGTGTAGACCCGCGGGTCTTTGCGTGGAAAAAAAATCATCCATGTGAACTTAAGACTTTACTGCTTGATTATCATTTTATGGCGGGTGAACTTTGTCAATCTGCGGGCTTCTGCCATGTGGGCGGGCGGCTGCTAATCTTTTCGTACTCTGGGACGGCGGCGGCGATGACTGACTGTAATCTTCGCTTGTATTGCACTGCTAGTCCCCCGCAATTACATTTGCGTCTGTAGCTAACTGTGTTTTGTGGCAATTGCCAGGATTCCTCCTGGGAAATCTTCCAAGGGAGTTCTACCCTCACATGAACATTGGGAATATAATCAATGGTAGGTATTCCTGTGTTCCTGGCTGGTGTCCTCCCTGCGGTGTCCAGATCCATTTCATCGTAGCTGATGCTTATATTAGCGGGATCCAAGGGATGCTTCCTTAAATCAGCAGCACCGAATTCTGTAGGGATCACACGGGGGAGCATGTGACTTGCAGAAGCGCAGGCTCCATGTGGGTCAGTACCGGGTCGGCAGATTCACACTCAGACGCATTGCATTTTGCTGAGGAAGAGGCTGCCTGGTGCCTGTTCCCTGCAGGGCTGAGGATCACTGCCCAGCCATGTTCTCCCCTCCCAGGTCTCATCCAGCTGCTCGGGGATCCCGACCCCACGGTCCGGGCAAAGGCAGCCGAGGCCATGGGTCACTTTCGTCACTTTCACCCAGCGTCTGGCTCCGGATCGCTGAAGGAGCTGGACGTGTCGGCCTGAAAGCGAGCGTACCTGTGCTGCTATCGCGGTGCCTCTGCGGATTTAGGCCAAGACCAGCAGGGGTCCAACTCTCCCAGGTTCCCCTCAAACTGTGTCCTCATTTCATCTCTAAGGATCTGTGTTGGAATCCGTAACGTTTTTTTTTTCCGTGCCGCTGGTTTCCTGGTAACCCCACTACTTTTATAGCTGCGTGGTTGAATGTATGTTCAGATGCTAATAATCTCGCCCTCGATTCTGTCCTCACTACTGCCTCGAGTTTCTGCTGTAATAAACTGAGAACGAGTTTGGCCAACTGGACGACTTGATACTGGGTAATATCTGAGAGACAGGATGGGGTAAACATGCAGAGTTAGCCTCTGTCACATGTCCAGACTGAGTGGGGGGATGCAGCCATGCGTCTATGGACTGCTGTGCTGGAGGCTTGTCGCAGGGCAAGGTGGAGCACTCCTGGCATGTGTGCCAAGGGTGCGAATGCTCACCCCGCTAACCTCTCCAGGCTGCTTATCAGGTTTAATTATTAATCTCCATGATTTATCTGTGCTATAGATGTGATTATTTTGTGAGGAGTCAGCCTGACCCCAACTTTGATCGTATTATCTGCGAAGATGGGACTTATGACTGTACCACCGAGATCTTCGCTATAAATTCTGAATTTCGTAACATCCAGGTCTCTCCCTTGAATTATTTTCTTTGGGTGTCTTAGCTATTTGAAGGTTAATACTCGACATACAAGGTAGCACTGAAAATCTGACCCTCATGGTGATGTTGGTCTGTTCTGCAGGTTATTGGGGTCTCAAATCACTGCTCTCGTTAACTGGGTGTGAGGCAAAAGACAGTTACACCCCCCCCCCCCCTTTCTGGTGGTGGATTGTGCAGCACATGCCATTGGTTAAGTGTAAGTCACATGACTTGTGTTCATTATGAACCCCAACATGGCCTAATTCATGGAAAAAAGACTGAATATGTATATGACAAGTACTCAAGAAAAGAAGCCATCCTTTTCGAAAACATTTATGAAAATACAACTGTTTATATATGAACTTGGAAATATACTCCATTTTCAGATAGAAAAGGTATTAAATATTAAAGGTCCATTTTACAGAATTAGGTCTTACAGGAACATTTGGTCAAATCAGTTTTCTGTTTCATTACTCAAGAACAAATGTTTAAAAAGCTGTAAAAACCATAAACCTACAAAGCCAGAAGAAATGCTCAATAGCTGTCTTTTAAGCTAAAAGCATCAGATTAACTCAGTCACTGTAGCCGTGTCCAGCTTTGCAGTTTGGTTTGGAAAATAAAAATCAAAACGTGGACACACATCCGCCATGGGCATCTTCGGCCGAGGGCCAGCACAAAGCAGCCATTTTCACGAAACGTACCGGGGGCCCGGGGCAGGAGTGCGGGCCGCCCCCCCACCAAGCTGGGCCGGCCATCCACCGGCGCTCGTCTAGAAGTCGATCTTGTCCTCGTAAAAGGAGAGGAGCAGCAGGACCCCCCAGCCACTGAGCAGCCCCACGTTCTGCAGCAGGAAGGTCAGCCAGGGCCTGCTGCTGCTGGCATGGACCATGGAGGGGAGCTGGGGGGGGGGGGGGCGGTCAGCAGGAGACCTCAGCTGGCCAGCAATAGAGAGACCTGCTCTACAGCAGCAAGCCGGGACAGTCCCTGCTGCCAGAGCCGGATCAGAACATACAGCACCGGTGCGGCGATCTTTAACCTAGCATTTAATCTGCCATGAATAAAGCTGATTAAAATGCTTAATTGATACTGACACTTTTGGAAGCTTGACTTCTCAAGTATTACAGTATAAAACTTGTGTTTTACAAGAGCACACACAGTTCGCTTCATATGGTTTTAATATATCCCTGCCTTGTGTAGTAAACACTGATCTATATTTGTGTGCATATATATTCTGACAGCAGCAAATATATTTTTGAAATATTTTGAAGGGAGTTTTTTTGTGAGAAATGTTCTGAAAGGGAAACTTTCTATGCATTAAAGCTGACAAACGCATAGGATGTTCTACTGAAGGGATGTGGGCCGGCAGAGCAGCGGGTCGTACCATGTCAGCCAGGCCGACGTAGAGGAAGAGGCCGGTGGTGACGGCCGTGATCCAGTCGTTCGCGGCCGGGTCCGTCGAGACGGAGAGGGCGATGTAGAGGCCGACGAAGGAGGTCATGGCACTGGCCAGGTTGAGCAGCAGAGCCCTCTTCACAGACACGCCACAGTGCAGCAGGATGGCGAAGTCACCTGGGAACACAAAGGAGCGAGATGAGGAACGGGGCCCGGACCTCTGCTCACGTCCACGTTATGGTGAGCGGCACCTGCACATGATCCTCACCATTTACACGTCATTAAATCAGAATAATAATGATAGTAATATATTACTTAGAACTTAACACTTTCAGATGTTTCTTTTTTTAGTAATGCTGCAAGATTCAGGTCTGAATGTATAGGGTGTACATGCATAGATTATTGAATATTATAATGTAACGATTATATAATATAGATTGCAGATATAGATAGTGACGCAGTGCTTTATTGATTTACTAATGTCATGTGGGTGATTGTGAGATGGCCTCACCCAGCTCATGGGGCAGCTCGTGACAGAGCACAGCCAGCGACGTTGCCAGCCCCGACCTCCAGGACACGGAGAAGGCAGCCCCGATGGCCAGGCCGTCGGCGAAGTTGTGGATCCCGTCGCCGATGGTGATCATGTAAGGGAGCAGCCGCTTTTCTGGAAGGCAACGCAGGGCGCTCCGTGAGGGGCGTGTCTCATAACACCCCGGATAAGCTATGCTAAAAGCGTAGCATGGCACTAAAAAGGCTTAACCAAGCTTGTTTAATGTGTATGAAGGCATCTCGGGACCACAGAGGTATATAATGACCGTTATTATATTTTAGACGTGACATAAGCTTGACTCACCTCTCCTATGGTCCTCTGGAATAGTGAGTGACTTTCCATCGATTTCTCCGTCGACCTGTGAGGAATAACGCCACATCTCACCGCGTTCCTTCATGTCTGGTTGTTCATGCTCGTTCCACTTACAAGTCCCTGCCCCGTTTCTCGAACGGCCGCATCTCTGCCGGCCACAGGCCCAAAGACCATCTCACCAGATCCGCTTCCGAGGTGGATTGCTTGCTCTTTCTCTGATCCTGGTACATCTGCAGAACCCTGTCGTGGTCGCAATGATGCGGATCGCTGTCGTCCTGCGGCATCATATCCAACAATTTAACAGAAGAATTGGACTATATATTTAATAAAGTATGTCAGCTGTAGTTATATTTTCCTAGATGAATTTGAAGCTATATGTCCTTTGAATTATATCAGTAAGACGAGGCCTTCTTTATTAAACAGGATGTCAAGCAGTACCTAAATATGCACTTAAAGGAAATTCATGCGGGTAATAAACGCCAGCGACTGCACCAAGGGGTTAAACACGTACGCCTCGATGGCTATGCTGGCCTTTGTGTGTGACCAGGGTGAAAATGGTCTCCATTAAGTAGAAGTAGTAGATGCCAGCCAGGAGGACCAGGAGCTTGAAGGTGTAGTCTGAGTTCTCCCCACCGGCGTGGTCATGCCCCGCACTGTCCTCCTCCTTGTGAGAGTGGAGGCCCAGGAACTGAAAACAATGAGGCACAAAATGAGCTCTCGGACCCGGAGGCAGAGCAACCGAACACTGGGCCTTGGGGCAGAAATGGACCATGCCTCGCCCCCCTTTCCAAATTCACGCCAAGGGTCTGCCTATGCCAGTTGCAGATGATGAAATTCAAGTAGCCTTCAAATATTGTACCCATGATGCACTGCGGTAGTTAGCAAATCCCTCAAACATGCTTTTTTTGTTACATACACACCTCATAATATAATTTGACTACAAAACATTACAGACTATTACATTTCAAAATTGTTTTAAGTACTGTACCAAATACTTCTTGTGTTATGACTCCCACCATAATGAGACTGTATACATGAAAAAGAGAGATATAAAAGTAGTATGTCACAGGCCAAGTCACCACCTTAATCCTCACAAATGTTTCTCATACATGTGTGATTTCTCAGAGGGGGACCCTTGATGTCGCTGCCCCGCCTACCAGTCTGTCCTTCCTTGGACCCCTAGTGGGTGAGTGCAGCCACTCCTGATGGATGGTCCTGACTGTACTATGACTACCACTAGCCACCAAAAGCCTTTATCAGAGGTATCTTCTGGTTAACCCCTAAGCGACGTGCCACGCTGGCCCACAAGAGGACAACCCGATGGTCGGAGGGCTCACCACGGGCAGGAGGTGCAGGACGGCGTCTCCTGTTAGGGAGCCCACAGCCAGGCTGATGCAGAACTGAATGCTGAGCTGGAAGACGTTGGTGCAGGCTGTGCATAGCAGGAGCACGATGCCAAACATGGCGCCCAGGCAGATCACCACGTTCGCTAATGTGGCGTAGACGTACCCTGAAGGTGAGGTAAGAGGGTAAGAGCACCTAAAGAGTCAGAGCTTCCAAATACAACAAAAGAAGATGATCTCTATAGTCAGGTGAGAGAGGAACCAGAATGAACACAAAAGTCATCTGAGGAAAGAACAGAACCACTGCTTCACACCTCCAGGGCTCCAGGTTTGAATTCCACTCCATCTCTGAGTTTGTGATGGTCTTCATCATGCTGTCAGATACACTGGTTGGGAGGTTGGGGGGGTACTCACTCTCTGTCTTGCTGAGTTTGGCCCCGGGGCTCGTCGGCTGCCCCCCGTCCACACAGGCAGTGTTGAGGACCTGCTGCACCAGTGCAGGGCTCAGCTGTGTGAACTGGGCCCGCGAGAAGCCAGTGGCGTTCAGGCCGTAGATCTGCAGGAGTTCGCTGGCCGTGAAGCACATCTGAATGGGAGTGAAGCACAACTTCACTCTCACTGGCAACTGTGCACCATGCGACACTAATTTAGCAGTGAAACTCTGCGTTAATAGAAGATGCTGCTTTCATCAAAGAGTTAATCGAATAAATGATGCCAAACAAAACCTGTTTACTAAGGATTCGTTGCACCTTTGCATTGCTAACAGGGGTTTGGTAGGATATTATGACAGCCTGGGCTGAGTCCAGAGACTAAACTGACGGCATGGTTGTTAAAGCATCTGAGCTAAACAAATCACAGAGGTCATAGCTTTGTACTTCACAGTTTTAGCACTACTGTAATGATGAATCATACTTCATATCGGCGAACGTAAACAGTTGCACGGTATTAAGCGACCCCCCCAAATTATGTACACAGATCTTTCACAAGAGGCCTCAGACTGCCCAAACAATGGCCGCATGCAGGAGAGACAGGCGTAGCCGTGGTATTCTTGCCATGGCAATGACTCAAACCCATAATGACCACATGTACTGGGCCACGCCGTCACTTGCTAATTACCCAGCTCCGAGCTAATCACCTGGTCCCAGCTGCTGTTACCCTGATGAGGCATTGCGAGGCCCAGATGACGCTGATGGTGATCATAGTGGTTACTGAGCGTTCTGTTGGCCTCACCCACCTTCAGGGACCACATGAGATCCTCCAAACCTGGTAGGATGACCAGTAGCAGTACGGATCAGGGAACTGGACTCCAATTCTAATTCACAGTTCCAGTGTTAACTGGTTCTTTGAACTGGCAATACTTTATCTGTTTTGTCCACACGAGTTGTTACAACTCAAAAGGAGATCAAAATGGCTGCCCGCTGTAGCCCTCTGTTGACATACCATGCACCGTCATGTCTCCGGAGCCAAATCCACTGAAGAGAAAATCCAGGAAGTAGTCAGGCTTGGGCAGCAAATGGGCGGTCACGCAGTCCCCCAGCAGGACGTGGTAAAGGATCGCCCCAAAGATGGCGTCCATTTCGTGCGCGTGACCTATAGCCAAGTTGTTTGCCTTCAGGATGTCCCTACCTGTCAGACAGTGCTAAAAGACAACATTACAACATTAATGGAGGAACTTCGTCATACCACTTTTTACAAATATATTCATTATTGTATGTGAGAATGAGACGGCATCTCTGTAGATATGACTCCAAGCAATTCCTGCTTCTGGACCAAGAGAAAAAGATCCTAGCTGTCAGCCTGCTAGCTGAGCCACATACCTGATCTCCATCCATTTTTCGAAGGTGCCTTTCAATTCCATGGAGAACACGATCAAGTCCCGTAGTCCCGTTAATAAAATCGTCTCCTTGGACGTCTTGGGCCGCTGTGCTCTGGATGAACTGGTCGGTCTCTCTCTGCCAGCGCTTGTCCTTCACGGCCCCACAGGTCTCGCGGGGATTGCTGAGGTACAAACACAACCCAGGAGCCACCTTGAAAAAGTCCTCCATCGACAAGCCACCGGCCGTCGGGGAGCCCCCGGTGAGCTGGCTCACGTCCTGCACAGAGATGCACTGTGGACAGCCAGAGAGTACACACTGAGACAGTCGCACAGTAGGGCCAGCAGGTGGCACTGTGGTTAATGATATGGACTCATAAGGTTGGCATATCAAGGGTCATAGAAGAGCATGTTAGTGTACCCTTGAGCATGGTTTGTTCCCAGTGAAGCACTATTTATAAATCAGAAAAAACTATTAAACTACTTTGAGTAAAACCTCCAGCTAATATATAAAAATAAAAAATAAGGAGACCACTGTTTATGATGCAGAACAATGTTAAAGCCATCCTGCTGAGTTAAGCTTTCAGTCCTGCCGTCTCTACAGATAAAAAGGACATTTCTTTTTATTATTGTTAATATTCTGTGTTCAGGCAAAGTAGTCTGGACATTTCAGAGGGTTTTAATGAACAGCCCGGGGACGCGCTGACAATTAGTTATCCTCAAAAAAAGGAAGAGGCTGATTTTGCACATAAAGTGTTCACGTCTTGTAAAATTATATTGAAACCATATTTTAAAATATTAAAGCATTTAGCAGTTATTTTAAGCGTGAAAATTCGGTCAATTTGACCGTAAAGGTAGTAGCCTTATTCAAATCCAGAGACACGTACTAACCCGTATCACACGGATATAAGTTTGGTAATTAACGCAAAGCATTACTGACACAACAATGTAGATTTTCAAAAATGTTTTTTTATTCGTTACCAATTTACCTAGCGCTCAGAAACGATAATACTTAAGGGAAATGTCAAGTTTACGTTTATATACATACAGCCTCGAATAGTGTCACTAATTATATGGTATGTAGCCTACTTTAAGTAATTTTAGATTTAAATTATCATTTTTCATGATTTACTGCAAAACAAAAAAGTTTCGTAAAAGAGCATGTAAAAATAGGCTGAATAGTAAACAGCGGAATCGCTGTATACAGCTTGCAGATAGACTATATGTTGGACCTCGACCTTCTTTTAAGGCAGATGAAGCGAAGGGAAAAAAATTACCTTTTCACACGACACATCGGGGCATTGCACACGTTTCTCCAACATTGAGAGTAACGAGCGAAAAGCTTTCTCGTGTAGCTGATCTTCTCCAGGTGCCACTAATTCCAGGACCTTCATATAGATGTTGCGTTTGGTGGCGTGAGCGCAGCAGTGCGAGTTCAAACTAAGGCACAACAGAAGAACTTGTGAAAACTTTAACATTGTTTCCATTAGACTTCAACAAATGCGCCGTGTTGTTACTGGAAAGCAAAAATCTAAATAAGATGCTTTGATACAGGGGATCCTCTCCAACAGAGACGGACAGCTGTCTTGCCAATGTTCTGCATATAGGTTGAACCTGCAGAGGTAGATGGCTCTCTCACCCTGCTTACTTTACTCACATTTGATTGGGTCAAAGTAGCGTGGTGTCTTTCCGGCGTTATATAAAACCGAGACCTACATAACGACCCTGCAGTTGATGGAACGCACTTCACTCTAATATTATCCTCATCACATAAATGTCTCTGTCCAAGCTTTGTGTGTAGTTTGTGTTAATCTTTGCACGCAATCTTCAAGACAAGTAAATTGGAAAGACGTCATTCATGTGAAACTCATAGGTTTCACGGTATTCGGGCCATCTGTTTTTATTCTGATGGTTAATTTAAAATTATTTCAGGCGAACCATACATCACGTCAGGGGAAAATGATTTCCCTACCATACAAACATTCACAATTAAACCTGACCTTATATTCAGAGTGCAGGACAATCTATACCGCAGCCGGTGTCTAGGACACTTCATTATTTCTGTAAACAAATAACTTTGTACCTATAAGTACTACTTATAACAGTTTTTAGCATGTTGCTAGGGCTCTGCTGGAAGTTTCTACGTGAATATATTACACTGTTTTCCCCCCAAAGATGCACTGAATCGCGCATTTGGTCTCTGGCGTTACAAAGTAAACGCGGAAACTTAATTGCGTCCACAGTTGACCTGATGTTCAAACTGACGGATGGGTTTAATATTACTGAGTAACAGTGACTGGGAGGAAATATGCGCCAGGTCTCTGATCAACTCATCCTTCTGCTCCTCAGTCTTCTAAAAGAAGGTGACAGGCTAGGAGGGATGGCAGTAAGCTGCGGCATTGACAGTTTAATATCTCTCCCGTTGCATCTGGGCGCAGACACGCAGGACTCGCTAGTTAACCCTTTGCTGGCTACTGTTTTCAGTAGTATGTTCCTGACATTCATATGTCATTTAGCGTCATTTTACATCTATATAAATCTTTCGGTTCCAAGTCCGTGATTAATTTAAAAATGATAACAAGTGTGGCTGCCAGTAACAGAGATGGAAAGTGAGATCTGTATCTAGCAATATCAGCACCAAAAACGGGGGGATACTTAGATTAGATGTGGTGGACTAATTTGTTTCTGAGTATCAGGCCAACCCACACACATCTCAGTTTAGGGGCCCGATTTCCATATCGCTTCTTTGAAGTGGCTATCACACGGCAGCATTTCCAGCTTGGTGACAATGGGGACACCGCATCAGATTCTGTCATAAGTGTCAGCTTCTTTAAGGGGTGCGAGGAGCGCTCACCTGCTGAGATAAATGCATATGAGCTGCCTTAAATAGATCGGCTGTCCTCCTTCATGCGTGTGACAGCCTGTGCCGGCCACGTCCTCGGTGTGAGGATGGACTTAATGGCTGAGTTCCATTCGGCTGTTTATGAAATCCCACCAGATCGGTAAGTTACACGAAGTGTGTTAGCGTCTAAACGCGGCGATCGGGCCTGTAATCCTCCAGGTAGCGGACCAGTTGTTCTGCAAAGGCTGCTAGTACAACTCGATCCAATGGGATCTACTATACAGCACTCATACGAAAGGCAAATAAGGGATAATTTATTACTGAATATTGTCACATAATAACAAGGATCCACCCTCGTTTTGATAAAAGCGTCTCTGTCACATTAATGCGAGTCTGGCTTCATTCCTCTCATTCATCTAAAGGTTTGAAATTGGGATAAATTTTGTCTGAGGGGGTGAAATTTAAATTAATGTCAAAGAAGCAGGAGACGAAGGGCAGCTGGCGCCCTCTACTGTAAAGTACCAAATTGCCTCTAGGGGTCTGGAAATAAGCAGGGGAGCCAGCGATGTGAGAAGTGCTCTTTGGTTGGGTCCGTACGGCTTGCAAAAGTAGATGGAGGCAGCTGAGAAAGCGAACGAATAGACAGCCCAACAAGGTATGAGCTGAGGCCGGCAGAAAAATCCTTACCAAGAGCAGGGCTATGCTGCAGGTAGACCTCAAGTAGTGAGATCCTCAGCATGTTTAAGATCTGGCATCTGCTCTCACATGCCCTATGGTGCACTTCAGTGCTGGGATTCTGGGTCACGCTACAGAACGCCCCCCCCTCCAACACAGGGGAATGCTAACAGGTAATTCACTGCACAGACTGAAGGGGATTCCAAGACGAGTTTCCTAATCAAAAACGCTCTGACGCTGCCTTTGGGTTTTGTGTGGCTGCATCTTGCTCCTCATCTCCTCATCTTTCACCGTGAAAACCTCCGCGGCCCCGGGCTCTGGTGTGACTTTCACAGCTCACAGCTTTTTTATTTTTTAAAGATGCAAAATGAATCTGATTTTCACCTTTGAACAGATGGCATGTCACTGCTGGAGTCTGGTCATATACTGGACTTCGAGCGATTTTCAGGTAACTAAACGTGACCTACTTACTAAGACCTTCGACATATATTATTATTAAGAAACGATCTTCACTGCTTATATTATTATTTATGACGAGGAGTATCTTAAAATATTTTATATGAAAACAAATAATCTATTCTCATTCTCACCATGTTACACAATTATAAGAAACTCGCAAGGGACTGATCGTGTCCATATTGCAGGAAACAATTGTGTCCACACGAGGGCGCTACAACACTTTTTTTTACAGAGAGTCCAGGTAGAACTGAAATAAATTTATGTGAAGCTGAATAAATAAATTGATAAAAATAACTATATTACAAAGTTAGTTAGGTAATTAAGAGAATTATTTCATTTTAAATCTACAATAGTAATGCAGAGTGTAGTACATTTTAAGGTATTCAAATTTGGAAACTTTTATTTTACTCAGAAAAAAAGTTTCTTTCATTCATTCATTCATCCATCCATCCATCCATCTATCTATCTATCTATTGTCATTATTGTTACTGTCATCACTATGAGTGTGCGTGAGGTGAAGGCTTGAGTGTGCTTCTCCATCGCACGCTGCAGGTCTTGGTGTCAGTATTGGTCCTCCAGCCCAATCGGGCTCATTATAATGTTCTCTCAGGCAGACCTTCTATCAGCCTGGATTGTTTCCACCACTTCAGCCCATTGAAGGAGATAAGAGCCCATTTTCATGAGGTTAATATGCTCCCCCCCCCACCCCACCCACCCACTCACTCTCCCGATTTCCACGCTAATGAAATGGGTAGGGCAGCCAGCTATGGGCCTGCGCGGTGCAGTGGTATTGCTTCACACCTGCCCGGATTATACACTCCGAGCCGAAAGGCCACGGTGCGGAGGAACGGTGACTGCGGGGCTGGCTCTGGGGCCCGTGGCCTGGGAGGGCCACAGCTACAGTGCTCAGCTCCCTGGTTTGGGCTGACTCATCCGGGAATATGTACTTTATAATATACCCAAACAACATCTCCACTGCTGTGGATCTAGGGCGACTCGAGGATCCCTGGGAAGGGAAACACTTCCTCTTCAAAGAGTCATTTTTTTAACTGCACTGAGAATCAGAGCCCAGTACATGTTTTGGGAGTGTATTACCTCCGAAATGCCAGTTGAAGAGGCCGGGAATCCGACACCGTACCAACGGGTCCGGTCATGCTGTTAAAACACCCAGGGCATCTTTACAGAAGCCAGGAGCTAATCAGTAATTGCATTCGGCCGGATCGTCGCGGTGTTAATTAATTGATCCCTGCTATAGAGCGGTGAGGGACAACAGGCCCCTCGCTCAGCCAGCCCTTTGTGTCTACAAGCAGCTGTGTGGCGAAAAGACACCCGTCGCATAATAGATTACGCTAATTATCAAAAAAAAGACGACCAAGAAAAGAGCAAGGCAGTCACAGAAAAGTCTCTGCGCGTCATTAATTTGAAAAGGAAGATTCTAGCATGTTTAAAATTCAGTGTCTTACAAATTACACCGTGATATTCATTGTCTTTACATTATTGTAAAATGCCTAATGCGTGTTTTTAATACCCCAAGACTTTAAGCAGAAGGATGGTGTTTTAGTGTCCTCACAATATTATTCATTCTTTTATAATATCTCGCGTCAAAAGTTTGGAATAGGAGGAGCAGGGAACGAGCACCAGATGTTAAAACACAAATCAACTTTAACACCATATTGCCAGTCTGACAAAACAAATAGGCTTATTACTGTCCAAGGCCCCCGTGAGCGAGCACTGTCACCCCCGTCAGAAACGAATGGGCCGTCCCCACAGTTAATGATTTTCAAATTATGTGGCATCTCGGACCCTGCGGAGTGGGGCCCTCGGTTCCACATGGGGACATTCTTTGTGTCTGGGTAGGAGACAGAGACGGGGGATACAAACATCCCCCCCCCCCCC